ATGCGAACCAAGCTCCTGCTCCGATCGTACAGGGACCGGGTAGCCCTTAGCAAAGGGCCCCGGACCCCATACTCCCGGAGGACCCCCCACAGGGCGCTGCGAGGGACACGTTCGAATGCCTTCTCCAGATCCACGAAGCACATGTGGACTGGTTGGGCAAACTCCCATGAACCCTCTGCCACTCTGAAGAGGGTATAGAGCTGGTCCAGTGTTCCACGGCCAGGACGAAAACCGCATTGTTCCTCCTGAATCCGAGGTTCGACTATCGGTCGAATTCTCCTCTCCAGTAACCTGGCATAGACTTTCCCGGGGAGGCTGAGGAGTGTGATCCCCCTATAGTTGGAACACACCCTTCGGTCCCCTTTCTTAAAAAGAGGGACCACCACCCCAGTCTGCCAGTCCAGAGGCACTGTCCCCGACCGCCATGCGACGCTGCAGAGGCGTGTCAGCCAAGACAGCCCAACAACATCCACTTAAGGTACTCGGGGTGGATCTCATCCACCCCCGGTGCTTTGCCACCGAGGAGCTTCTTGACTACCTCAGCTCAGCTTAATATGTTTAAATTTGTTAAAGAATAGTAGGTCGTTCAACTGATACTTTGACAGCCAGAGAGTTTGCATTGTTAATGATCAAATCACAAATATAGTATCTCAGATGGCAACAGAGCTGGTATATTCTGATATTTGGCAGATCCATACCTCTTTCATAATCTGATAGCTATAGTGTAGTCGTTTTAAGTTTGGGTCTGTGTTTGCCCCATATAAAAGAGCTTCATCATCCAGTTTGAGAACAAGAGAAGAATCATACGAAGAGGGTACATTAACCAAGGAAATTACATTCATCTTAATAAGGGATATGTGTCCCAGCCAGGATACAGGTGAATTTCACTGATCCAAATCCTGTTTCATTTTCTCAAGCAAGGGGCCAAAATTTCTTTTGTACATATGCTTAAATTTAGGTGTTATGAATACATGCCTTTATTTTGGGTTTTTCTTTCCATCCGTTTCACCTGACCTGCTCAAGCTTCACCCCAGTCTATAATCATCATGCATTGCCTTCACCTGTCCCTCATTAATCCCTTATTTGCTTGTGCATACATACAGTATACTCCTTCCTTCCCTCAGTCACACGCGGGTTCATACCGTAACATGCAGCTATGTACCTGGCACCCATTGTGGAAACTTCTCCAGAGACACCTGGCTCACCTCACCTTACCTGAACCTGAGATCCCAATCAGTCTTTGTCAAAGTTTGCAAGCTTAGCTGCCTACTGAGATTTCTCCTGCTTGCCAGCTATACTGTCTCCTGCTCCCCCCCGACTACTCACCTCTTTTCTCCGTCAACTCACCGGCGAGTGTTAGGACACCTAACGAGGTACTTTGACCAGTATTACCTCCTGTGATTTCACCTCCTGTCAGCTACACTGTCACCTGTCTTTCCCCCGTCTGCTCACCTGTGAGTGTTCAGAGATTCCATTCGCACCAGCAAGGTTTCCTGACCAGCTGTGCCCATTGATCCTCCAATGGGCCAGCTATGTTACACTGTCTTCTGTCTTACCTGTCTCCACTCATCTGTACGCCATGGCCCTCCAGTTCTACTGGTTCCTGTCCAGCCCTACCACACTCACTGTCATGCCTTAGTCCCCAACTCCATGCTGCTCTGCCTGCCTGTCCTGTCCAGAATCTGCCTGGTCTCTATCCCCTCTCTCATTCACCCAGTAAACTCACATTTTATGAACAAAAAAACTCTTTTCTTGTTTCACTTCCAGTGTGTCTGCAGTCCACATGTGGAAGTGTTCCTGGGCAAGACACTCAACCCCCCCACTGCCCCCGATGGTTAGAGCCATCAGTTGAGTTGGCGCCGCAGATGGCTGCCTTGGTTCTGTACCGGAAACAAATTCCTTGTGTGTAACATACTTGGCCAAATAAAGGTGATTATCATCATCATTGTATTTATTATGGCTAGTACTGATGTCTGGGGATTTGAAACAAATATTTAAAAAATGATCTGTGTATCTTATGATGTACTGTACAATATATTTCCAGCCTGTAAACCTTGAATACAGGGTGCCATCCTTATGGCTTCAACGTTTGGCAGGTGGAATTTGGAGCAGTGTCGATGGCCTGACCTGAGCTGGCTGACAGAGGGGAAGCGGAGCAAGGCTGGGAGGTCAGGTGCTGAGTGGGACTCTTGGGTAGTGGTCTGTTCGTGAAAGGCGTGCTGCACAGTTATTACAGAGCCCTGCTAGCCAGGGAATACAGAGCAGGCTTGCTAGCAAATATGAAACTTAACTGAATAGGTGGTACCGAACAGGTCTTGCCAGGAAGAGTGAGACAGAGCTGGCCAGGCATACAACACTCATGCAAAGCAGAACCACAGGGCTGAATGAGAGTACAAAGCTGACCTGGATAGGCGTAGGGAGCTTGGCTGGTCAAGGTGCGCGGCTGAGCTGGGCAGATGATCAAGGGTAGAGCCAGCTGGGAACACCGAAGGCTGAACTGGGAAACAGAGCAGGTGAAAATAACAGCAGGTCGGCACAGAAAAGAGCTGGGACTCGGAAGTCTGCAGGTAAATTTAACGAGCTTAACAAGCTCTTGGTCTGGATATCAAAAGCCAGCCAGAACGTGCTGCAAGGACAACAAAACTGACTGGTGACAAGGAAGTAAATACTAAATACTCTGGAGCCTAATAAGAGATTGGCTGCAGCTGAGCCGGTAGCTCCCAGCCACACCTTGCTGCTTGACTGAGCTAGTCCAAGGAGGAAAGCGAGGCAGAGAATGACTTGTGACCTCACATCTAAAGAAAGCACAAGACCATCTACACCTCACTGCTGAAAAGTCTAAGGTAGCTAATCTAGTCTGCCTAATATTTTTGCAGGAGTTTTGCCCCTTTATCAAACCCATTTGATCTTCCATCCATCCATCTTTCTCTGCTTATCTGAAACAGGGTTGTGGGGGCAGCAGTCTAAGCAGAGATGCCCAGACTTCCCTCTCTCCAGACACTTCCTCCAGCTCCTCTAGGGGGATACCGAGGCGTTCCCAGGCCAACCGAGAGACATAGTCCCTCCAGCGTGTCCTGGGTCTTCCCTGGGGCCTCCTCCCGGTGGGACATGCCTGGAACACCTACCCAGGAAGGCGCCCAGGAGGCATCCGAAACAGATGCCCAAGCCACCTCAGCTGGCTCCTCTCGATGAGGAGGAGCAGCAGTTCTACTCTGAGCTCCTCCCGGGTGACCGAGCTCCTCACCCTATCTCTAAGGGTGCTTCCGGGATCTTGCCCTTTCGGTCATGACCGAAAGCTCATGACTATTTAATCTGCCTTTGTAATTTTGGGAAAGAGGTTCTCAAGTGTAGTGGCCAGAACTTGTGAAAGTATCTTTCAGTCTACATTAAGTAGTGATATACGTAGGCCTGTGTGATGAATGAAGTTCTGGGTTGTTCTCTTTTTTTAAGAACAAGAGAGTTTGAGGTAAACCGTTCTGGAAAAATGAGTAATTAAACATTAAGTAGAAGGTCTGCTAATAATTAATTGAATTCTTTATTAAATTCACAGTTATACCTGTTAGGCCCAGACACTTTTCCATTCTGTAATGCTTTTATAGCATTTAATACCTCTTCTCTGATAATGGAGGCATTAAGAACAGATTGCTGTTCTGTTGACAAAGTAGGCAAACTGATTTGAGAGAAAAAGTTTCCCATTTTGATCTGGACAAATGGTTACTAAAGGTGCACATTCTGTCATGTTATACAATATTTACCACTGTATCATCACCTATATTCAACAAACTGTCTGTAAACAATATGTGGCCTTTCTGTAGGTCAGACCTCCTTTTTTAAATAAGACTAAACTCTACTCATTATCTACAGGAACTGTATTTAAAAATCAGAAGATACCAGGAAATGAGGACAACATAGTAGCTTGTTAGATGTCATATAAGAGCAACAGTGCATAAGGGAACATGGACAGTTGAGAATTTGTTGTGGCCATGCTTGTTAATTTCTAGAGAATAGTCTGTCAACACTGAAATCATTATCAAGCAAAGGCAAAAACGAAATGTGTTTATTTTGTATTTGCAGGCACTAAATAGATTTTCCTTGGTCCCCTAACATCTGTGACAGCATGTTGTCAGGCTAAGACTGCTGTTCTCTGATCCACTAGCTAAACATGTTCACACATCCAATGTGCTGTGTTCACAGCTACTCTGGTGTAGCCACATAGAAAATTGGCTCTGAGCAGTCAGGCCTGAAAAGGTTCAGAAGTTGAGATGTGTCCAGAAACACAGGTCTCCTTAAGGCTGTCTGTCACCATTCAAACAAAGCTTTTATTGATTTGTGGTATTATCTTTCATGCTTCGCTTGATATTTGTGGGGCATGGTCAAGTGTAAAACACAAGAACTGAAGCTTACACATACACATGAGGACACATACAAGTCGACTAACACTGACAGAGAGCATGCACCTCTATTCCTCCTTTCATTCTTCTAAAAGAAGTCAGCATAATAGAGAAGGATCCTGCCCTCTCTCACACGAACACAACCGCATGCCACTCACTATCTAATACAAAGTCTTGACATTGTTATTGGTATAACAAAGCCCATATGCCTACACACACACAAATACAGAAACACACTACAAGCATAAAAACGTGCATGCTCAAAATATGCACACCAACCCACACGCTCACACTTTTCAGAAGCTGTTGTGCCAGCCTTGTGGGGGCTGTGCTGCCTCAAGCTGTTTCTGCATCCTCAGGCTCCTCAGTCCAGTCCTCAGCCCTTCCCTTCAACTGCTGCATCCATCCAATACTCTGAGAACCTAAACCAGCAACTTCAAAACCCAAACAATCACACAATTTACAGTAATATGACTGTTTAAAATGTAACTTGAAATCTTTATGGGGTATTTTTATTGCATTTCTTCACTTCCCCCCACTTACACAGCAGAGATGACAAAGCTTTCTGCTTCATCTTAATTCAGCCCTCTACTGTAGCCTATAGAGCAGTTGTGATGTTTTTGTTGCTGTCTTTTAACGATGGAGTGTTTTTCTCTAGTTTTAGGAAGCAAAGTGTAAGAGCTGTAGTTCTATTTATTTGGCTTAAAGCCTTGTATACAGCAACAGTTTTTATTGTGTTTGCTTTAGTGTTAGACTCTTTCAGGCTCTTTAAAGCGCTATCACACACAATAGCTCTCCTGTAACCTTCACTGAGGTTTGCCATCTTCCAAGTCAAATTCATCAAACTCTCTTAACTACATACATCTATAGTAACATGCAGAGGTGGGAGTAAGTCACAAGTTACTGTGATAAAAATCAAACAAGTTGAGTCCCTAGTATAAGTCAAGCAAGTCACAAGTCAAGTCATCCATATTTCTGATGATGTGACAATGTTATAAGAATATCACTTATTTAAGTGAAACATTCACAAACCTCTGATTATTAATTGTGCAGTCATATGTTAACCCTTAGCTATTAAATAAAAAGGCATGCCTTCCACAGTTATCAGAAAGTTGGACTGTTAATGTAAGGCTCATTGCCTGACCTGTATCCCATAACAGAGCTGGCTACTGCCATGTGGGTGCAAGCGAAAACCACAGGCATACAACTGCCAGAGGAAGTAAATAAATCCATCTATCATCTGCTCCATGTATTCAGTGTATTATGGTATGTTCACTTGTTTCCACCTGCTCAGACCAACTTGCTAGTCACACTGCACATTCTGACATCTCTAAAACTATGTATGATGTATACACTGCTTCCAGAACTTTATTATTATTTAGGTCTTCTGACAACAGCTTGATCTAAGAGTAACTGATTAGTGAGGTGTGCGAATCTGCTCAACTGCAAGCTTCTGCTGCCTACAGTTATCAAAAACAGACATTTGCCCAGATGAATAAAGCATTATATCTTCAGCCCAGGACATGGCTGCAGATAGCTTTTTGAAATGAAAAACATGTAACTTTTTCCTGATATTGTCCCTCTTAATATACCCTATTCACAGATCATGGTGTACCTGGTGGTAAACAGTTGCCCTGGAAACCATCCCTAAATCAATCTATTATCTACACTGTTTATTCTGTAAAGAGTAGTGGGTGTGACTGGATCCCAGCAGAAATTGGGTGAGAGGTGGGGAACACTCTGGACAGGTCTGTATCACAAGGCTGACACACAAACAACCACTGACACCTACAGTCTATTTGGCAAAGTCAAAGCCAACAGGCCTGCTTTGACTGTACAGACTGGGGTGTTTTTGAGGCTGCAGCTATAGACTTGGATGATACTGACACAGTGACATCATATCAGTTTCTGTGAGGACATGTGTGTGCCCATTAAGACTCTTTGCACATACAATAACAATAAACCTTGGTTCACAGTGGAGCTCAAACAGCTTTGTCATGTCAAAGAGGAGGCCTACAGGAGTGGGGACAGGACTCTGTATAACCAGGCTAGAAACATATTGACAGAGGAGATCAGAGTAGCAAAGAGGAGCTACTCTGAAAGGCTGAAAAATCAAAGAGCTGTAGTGGAAGAACTCTACACTCCTCTCTCACCTCATCTTGGAACAGCAACCAGTAGCTGCTTCTCTCCTCCATCAGCCCACCTCCTCTGAGGATCTGTGAAAGAGATGTGTGTTGCCTTTTTAGGAAACAAAAGATCAGTAAGACACCAGGCCCAGACAGTGTGACCCCCTCCTGTCTGAAAGTCTGTGCCGATCAGTTGGCTCCCATCTTTATGCAGATCTTCAATAGATCACTGACTGGAGCTTTATGTAGTTCCCCTCCTGTTTTAAATGTTCCACCATCATCCCAGTTCCCAAAAACCCTCCATCAAGGAACTGAATGACTAAAGACCTGTTGCCCCCCTGACATCTGTAGTCATGAAGTGTTTTGAGAGACTGGTGTTGCCCCACCTGAAGGCACTCACAGACCCCCGGCTGGATTCCCTGCAGTTTTCTTACCAAACAAATAATGGACAAACAGCAGACAATGCAGTCCACATGGCACTGCATTATATTGTGCAACATCTTGACTCACCATGGACCTATGCTTGGATTTTATTTGTTGACTTAAGTTTGGCATTTAACACCATCATCCCAGACATCCTCCATTCCAAACTAACCCAGCTCACTGTGCTTGCCCCCACCTGTCAGTGGATTGCCAGCTGTGTGATGGACAGGAAGCAGTAGGTGAGGCTGAGGAAAACCACATCCAGCATCCAGACTATCAGCACAGGTGCCCCCCAGGAATGTGTGCTCTCCCCGCTGTTGTTCTCCCTCTGTACCAATGACTGCACCTCAGGAAACCCCTCTGTTAAACTCCTGAAGTTTGCAGACAACAGTCATTAGCCTCATTCAAGATGGTGACGAGTCGGCCTACAGATGGGAGGTTGAACAGCTCGTTCTGTGGTGTGATCATAACATGGAGCTGAACACATTGAAAACAGTGGAAATTATATTGTTTTTTAGGAGGGGCTCCCCCACCCAATCTCTCGGGACTTGAAGTGGACAACCAACATCAGCCCCATCATTAAAAAGGCACAGCAGAGGATGTACTTCCTGTGTCAGCTCAGGAAGTTCAACCTGCCCCAGGAGCTGCTGATTCAGTTCTATAGGGGAATCATCGAGTCTGTTCTCTGCACCTCCATCACTGTCTGGTTTGGTTCAGCAACCAAACTGCAGAGAAAATCATCAGTGCCAGCCTGCCCGCCATGGAGGACCTGTACACCTCACGGGTCAAAAGGAGGGCGGAGAGGATTTCTGTCGACCACTTACATCCTGGACACAAACTCTTTGAACTCCCTCCCCTCTGGACGGCGCTACAGACAATGACAACCAGACGTGGAGACAAGTTTCTTTCCTCAGACTTTTACACTCTTGAGCAGTTAGTCTGTGTTTGCTCTTTTATCTTGTTTTGTTTTTATTGCTGTGCACATTGGGCTGGAGTCAAATTCCTTGTACAGTATTTTTGATACTTTGTTCACTTAAGCATAAACCTTTTTGCAATCAACCTAACCTACATGTCTTTGCAACAGTGCTAACCACTGCAATACCATGTAGCCTTTCCTGGAAACAAAGGGTAGTTTAAAGCTGACCATGTTTTGAGAAATACACATTTGTGGTTAAGCTTCAAATACTATGGATCCCAATGGTGGCAGAGATATTCTGGTCTTTTAGTACAATTCAATTTATATGTCACCAAATTACAATAAAAATTATGTCAGGGCACTTTACACAGTAAGGTTGAGAAATAATAATCCAACAAATCCTCCCTGATGTTTTGTTTTCTAAAAAGGCAACACATCTCCCCCCCAATGTGTAATAATTCTGTAGTATATTACTTGTGTGGTGTAGAGGATAATTATTTATGTAGAGATATTGCTTAGGACTTAAAAGTTGTAAAATGATGTCATGGGGTAGGACTAGATAAGTCTAACTTCTTCCTACTTCGTTCAAGCATTTACTAGGTATAAGTAAATTGATAATGGATTATTATTGTTGGATATGTGTGAAATTACATGTGTTGACATATCAAGTGTTTTACATGCTTGAATGAATAAATCAAATCAAAAACCTTCAGGCCGTGTTCTGGGGGAAGAACCAGAGTGGCTGCTGGCACTGGTTGAGAGGGATACTGCTTGGTGAGAGACACTAAAAAGGAACAGAGGGCGATATGGTAAAAATACTGTCGTCAGGTGACAAAAATAACTTGAAGACGAGAAGCTGAGCATTGAGAACGAGAAATACAATAGCTCCTAAACTGGAGAGGCACAGCAAGACAAAACCAAACCAAAAACAAAACAAAAAAAAAAAAAACTACAGACTACACTGTCCCCACACAAATATCACTATACTATATATTAAAAAAAAAATGTAATTACAAATCAACAACAAGTGGGACACAATCATGAAGTGGAATGAAATTTATTGGATATTTCAAACTTTTTTAACAAATAAAAAACTGAAAAATTGGGCGTGCAAAATTATTCAGCCCCCTTAAGTTAATACTTTGTAGCGCCACCTTTTGCTGCGATTACAGCTGTAAGTCGCTTGGGGTATGTCTCTATCAGTTTTGCACATCGAGAGACTGAAATTTTTGCCCATTCCTCCTTGCAAAACAGCTCGAGCTCAGTGAGGTTGGATGGAGAGCGTTTGTGAACAGCAGTTTTCAGTTCTTTCCACAGATTCTTGATTGGATTCAGGTCTGGACTTTGACTTGGCCATTCTAACACCTGGATATGTTTATTTGTGAACCATTCCATTGTAGATTTTGCTTTATGTTTTGGATCATTGTCTTGTTGGAAGACAAATCTCCGTCCCAGTCTCAGGTCTTTTGCAGACTCCATCAGGTTTCCTTCCAGAATGGTCCTGTATTTGGCTCCATCCATCTTCCCATCAATTTTAACCATTTTCCCTGTCCCTGCTGAAGAAAAGCAGGCCCAAATCATGATGCTGCCACCACCATGTTTGACAGTGGGGATGGTGTGTTCAGGGTGATGAGCTGTGTTGCTTTTACGCCAAACATAACGTTTTGCATTGTTGCCAAAAAGTTCGATTTTGGTTTCATCTGACCAGAGCACCTTCTTCCACATGTTTGGTGTGTCTCCCAGGTGGCTTGTGGCAAACTTTAAACGACACTTTTTATGGATATCTTTAAGAAATGGCTTTCTTCTTGCCACTCTTCCATAAAGGCCAGATTTGTGCAGTATACGACTGATTGTTGTCCTATGGACAGAGTCTCCCACCTCCGCTGTAGATCTCTGCAGTTCATCCAGAGTGATCATGGGCCTCTTGGCTGCATCTCTGATCAGTCTTCTCCTTGTATGAGCTGAAAGTTTAGAGGGACGGCCAGGTCTTGGTGGATTTGCAGTGGTCTGATACTCCTTCCATTTCAACATTATTGCTTGCACAGTGCTCCTTGGGATGTTTAAAGCTTGGGAAATCTTTTTGTATCCAAATCCGGCTTTAAACTTCTGCACAACAGTATCTCGGACCTGCCTGGTGTTCCTTGTTCTTCATGATGCTCTCTGCGCTTTAAACGGACCTCTGAGACTATCACAGTGCAGGTGCATTTATACGGAGACTTGATTACACACAGGTGGATTCTATTTATCATCCTTTGTCATTTAGGTCAACATTGGATCATTCAGAGATCCTCACTGAACTTCTGGAGAGCGTTTGCTGCACTGAAAGTAAAGGGGCTGAATAATTTTGCATGCCCAATTTTTCAGTTTTTTTATTTGTTAAAAAAGTTTGAAATATCCAATAAATTTCATTCCACTTCATGATTGTGTCCCACTTGTTGTTGATTCTTCACAAAAAATTACAGTTTTATATCTTTATGTTTGAAGCCTGAAATGTGGCAAAAGGTCGCAAAGTTCAAGGGGGCCGAATACTTCCGCAAGGCACTGTATATGAAGAAACCAGAAAAACAACTGGAAAACCAATAGGCAGACTTCTAAAATCCAAAGGCTGAGGCAGAACCAAACGTAGAAATTGGGTCAGAAACAGACAGTCTTGGTAATAGACTCACCAACAGGACTCAAGCAGACAGAGCACAGGTCTGGTGACAGGTGCTAGCTCTAATGTGTATTGTATTCAAGCAACTGGAGAGGAGCAGCAAAGCAGTATATATGTGGTGAAGATAATGAGAAATAGGTGAGTGGGATTTGCCAGGTGAACAGAATCAGCCACTGATTGGCAGTAGCAAAGCTGGAGAAAGTGAGATGGAGAAAACGAGGAAGTTCCTTGGCTAAACACTGTAATACTACCTCTGTAAAGACAAGAGTTGTGCCAATGTGATGGTACCACAATGGGGTTGGTTGTAAAGTCTCCTAATCCCATAAATCCCTCACAACTATACATTCATTCTTGTTGTTAAAATGAATATATTGTGATGTTACGGAATTCTTAATATTGTATCATCTCTTATCACACATGAGACAATGAACAATGAGGGTGCATCAAGTCCTGATAGTGTCACCAGGCAAGCTCAAATACCGAGACATTACGTCTCTGCTAGAGAGGCAGGCCTGTCCCTGTTATCAGTTAACAAAGGCAACTATAACTGAAAAAGATAACCATGTCCCTGCATCTAATGGCACAACTGAAACCAGATGGCATCCACAGGTGAAACACATTGCAGAATGGTGTGTGGTGAAATATGGTGATGAAGCCTATCCTTGCATTATCAGCGAAGTGGAAGAGCACAACATGATGGTTAAGTGCATGTGCAAAAATGGGATGAACAAATTCTTCTGGCCTAGTCCCAGAGAAGACATTACCTGGTATGCAGATTAGATCAGATTCTTATTCCAGAGCCACAAGTGCTCAATAACCCATTCTGTACAGGTAGACAAGGCTTCATAGAAGTATGCAGAAGAGCAGTTGAGATGAGCCAGAGGGCCGGGGTAGTTGGTGCAGAGCACTGTACAAACTTCTTTTTGTACCTGCAGTACAAACTGAATGATTGTCACCCCACTAAAATCACATTACAGGTATCAGAATAATTTGGCTGTCTTTATACAGTAAATGGGAGATGAGGAGTTACACACTTGGATGTAATATCAAACATATTCAGCTAATCGTTCTTTAAAATTAGGCAGTGTTTGTGAACATATGTTTACTTTTTTTCTGTCTCTCTGTGTCTCTCTGGTGTTTACATGACTGTTGTCCACGAATATGTTTGTGTGCATCATCATATTGTGTGCCCACAAATTAATGAAATTCCAAACTGAATTGGCAAGAGGGAAATGATTTATTTCAAACACACAGAGAATGTTACATATTAAAAGTTGATTAAATGTTTCATTTTCATACTTTGTCATGCTTTGTGTGTTTTGCTCAATGTGTCCACCTCGTCACATACTGGTCCACCCTGTCATCTTGGCATTTTTAAATAATAATTTAATTATACTTAGAAATATTTGTATAAACAATCTAGTGTGTTCAGTAGCTAAGTGGGGAGCAATAATATGCAATTAAAAACTGCATCCATATATCACAGTTTTCTCCAAATAAAAAAAGTGCTAATTGTATGTGTTTCATTAACAACAGATGGTTTCCATAAAATATTTTATTTATTTATAATTTGAAAGCACACAAATAACACTGTTTAGGGACATTGTGTATTTCAGAAAATGAAATTTTCATGTTAATGTTGCAATTGAATATTTAACAGTAATATATATGTCAGTGACAGGGTGGATATATGCTATTGGTTATTCTCCAAATATTGGCCCGTAATTATCTAAATATATGTGTGGGAACTCAGCTAAGATTTATTTCTAAAACTTGATTGTCTACTTTTTATGATAACACAAGGGAATGGGAAATTAAGACCAAAACGTGAGTATTGTGATGATTGCAAGGCACTCTGTAGAGACACTGACTCAGTTACTTGATTTCTTGCCTAAACAGATAAAAGTGTTACATTTTTCCAAACCATGTTTTTTTGCTTTAAGCTGCAAATAACCCTAGAAATAGTTTTCAGTCCACCATTCCATAATAATTTATTGTTAAAACAAATGTTGTTGCATTTACTGAGATACATGACCATCCAGTCACATTCTGTTCACAGACTGGTTGCAAAGGCTGATCCCAGGTCTGCTGGTGCTCTGATATAGTTTCCTCTCTGTTCAAAGCAGAATAATGGCAGAAGCTACAATGAGAGACCCTACACTTTTTTCTTTCAGTACGGCTTTCAAACAGAGCTAATGGCTAATATTAACAGATAACAGCACCGAGTGCAGTGAGCTACAGTTGTAAATACAGGTCTGAGGTCAGAACATCAGAGAACCGTGCTGACACTGAACTGACAGAGAGCAGTGACAATGTCTGTGGTGTTACTGGTAATAGGTTTAATACTATACACACACACACACACAACTACTTTCCCTTCTTTTTGCCATATAAATGTGGTGTGGCAGAAGAAAGTAGTGTGCTGGAAGTTACCTGTTGCTCTTTTTATGACTTATTGTTATTCAGGTCATTTTTTGCTATATACTAGGCACTTTTTTACTTTTGTTATTTTACATTTTAATTAATTCTACTTCTGTACTTGCTGATACAGTACAAAGTAACAGTACTTCTATTTGAGTTCCATTTTTGGCTACTCAACTCATTACTGTGTTTAGTCCTCTGCAGTTTGTCTAAAGTAATGAAGCCTTCAGCATCAGTTTAGTTAGAGGATTCTGGAAAATGTCTCCAAAGCAGGTTATATGGTCACACCAAAACCACAATGAGACATGAGAGAGCTTGTGTCTTTGTATCCAGTTTGTGTCTTTGTATCCAGACACTTACTGTTTACTCAGAGAATACTCATCAGGCACTACTGACAAATTTCTGCTTCTTCCTAACTAGATATACTGGATTTTTCTCTCAGGCCATCTGTGGTATATCTGATTCAACAAGGCTCTCACCAGAGACAGTAGGATCCAATGAGTGTGCTCTGAAGTAAATGTTCAGATCATCGTGTATTCTGTTTTTATCTCAACAGGCAGAAGGAGAGGGATTATACTGTTCTGATGCCAGGATTTGTCAAATCCCAATGGAGCAACTGCTAGTCTTCAACACACAGACTGTATTATGTTGCCAATAAAATACTGGCACAAGATATTTTATTTCCCTAACTGTTATTGTACCACTGTTATTGTCACTGATGCATTCCAGGTCAATAAGCCAAATTATGATTGTATAAAAACAATGCAGTTCAACAGGTGGGTCTTCATTCAGGATGCTCAGTTTTGGAGTCTGTTAACATTCAGCAGGCTGGAAGCCTGATCTGACCTGGTGCAGTTTCCTTTTATTGACTCCTTTTTTTTCGAAGTGACAGATGCTCCTTGGTTTTGTCACTCTAACACTCTCGCTTCTGTTTCACACTCAACTTCACAGTTTCACACATAGAAAGAAACTCCTCAAACCTGCATCCCTTCAAGTCTTGCTCTGTTAGTATCTTTTCTGAACTCCATTAGGAACTTCAGCACACCCCTTCCACACACCTGAAAACACAATTTCTCCATCTTCTACAAAGCAGAGCCAGGATGGAGAGCCTTCTGACTAAAACCAGATCCACTCTCCATTGCACTGTTTGATTATGCAGATGGACCACGATTGGGCGATAATCTGTGTGCTTGTTTTGTGCATTAAGCTGCCTAATTATTAATGAGCAGGTTCAGGACCTAGAGAAATTGAGTTAGCCCATTTGGTTTGCATAATTGTTAACCAATGTTAATGGTATTCAATAAATTAATGGTACACAATGTAGTGAACTGCGCTGAACTAATGCATATAGATGGATACATATGTTACAGCTGCCCTAATAATTAAAAAAGCTTTACAATGGATCAGATGAATGAGGCTGTAATCACACAAACATCTGCCATACATTAAAATAATGCAAGTGGCTGTATTGGTGGGGGTGTGTTGTTTCATGTACCTATGAGACAGTGAAATACAATCTGGGAAGTTCAGTTGGAGAAACAGGTTTATATGGCTGAAGTTTATTAGACACCATAGCACAGCACAGAGGTTTATAATACTTGCAAGAGAGGATTATACCACTCTGTGGGGCTATCACACCGGCAACTGTTTCATCATCATCTCAGGGTAAACAGAAGAAACAGAACATTATACATGATATATAATTCTAGCAACCAAATTGAGTTTCTTTCGCAGGGTGCTGGATTTAACCTTAGAGACAGTGCAGAGTTTGGACATCTGTAAAGGGCCTAGAGCAGAACTGCTGCTCCTTCACATCAAACGGATCTGGTTGAGGTGGTTCAGGCATCATATCAGGATGCCTCTAGGACAGCTCCTTTTGGAGGTTCTCCAGGCACATCCAACTCAGGAGATCCAACCATGTGGAGAAGAAAAGACACAAATTAACTGCTAAAGACTAAAGACATGACCAAGATAAGGAAGGCTGAAGCATGACCACCACTGAACAAGACTTTCAGGTTAAAATGTGAAGACAGGTTTTTAAAAAAATGTATGGATAGATGAAATGAGAATGACTCTTGATGGACCAGATGGATGGGCCCATTGCTGGATCATTAATGGACACACAGCATCACTTTGACTCAGATGCCAGCAGAGTGGTGGAAGGGTACTGGTATGGGTTGCTATTATTAAGGATGAGCTAGTTAGGCCTTTTTGGGTTGAAGAAGTGCTTACAAAAATCTATTTCCAAACCTTCTGCCGGTTTCTAAAAGACACTCTTCAAGCAGTGGTACAGGAAGAAGTCTGTATCATTCAACAAGACCATGATTTTTATGCAGGAAAATGTTACATCACATGCATCCATGTGCACCACTGCTTGGCTAGCCAGCAAAGGCCTCAAAGATGACAGAATAATGGTGTGGCACCCTTCTCACCTAACTTAAACCCTACTGAGAACTTGTGGACCCTTCTTAAACAGGAGATTTACAGTGAGGGAAGACAATACAACTGTGATTGCTGTTGCAGCAATAGATCAAGAAACTGACTCCACAGATGGAAGGCTTGTGGCACTTACTGAATAGAAGAGTGGCTGTATTGGTCACTGAATATTTTAGAAATGGCAAAGGTGCTTGTTAATTTTGACTCGTTTGTTATACTTACTTTTAGACTTTAA